GCTGAACCTATATTGGATTTATTCCATTATTTTGTTTACCTCTACATCCTTAGATATGTTTGCCTCACAATTTTTTACCCAATCTTTAGCCTTGATCCTAACCAGCTAGATTGCAACAAGGTCACAGCTGCATGTTACAATGGTTTGAGAATTTTTAGAATGAGGATTAGCTTAAGTGCATTCAGTTTTTTAAAGTTTGGTTTACACCTTTATGCTCATCATGTTACTGAAAATTTGATTAGGTTATAAATCACATTCTGATGTTTTATGGGCCATCTTTAATTTACCTCAGCCTGCTTCACTCTGAGCTAGACTTTCAGCAATTCTAAAGTATAGCCTTCTCTGCTGATCAGTACTTTTTCCGCTCATTCCTCTGAGCTCCCACCTCATTTATATAGTTATATTTAGGCTCTTACCTGCTTTTCAGTAGACACTACAGATTTCTGCATATGTATTTAAGCTTCATTATTTCTATGTAGGTCAAGAGATCATTGCCACTAATGGCTAGTTGTCGTCATAAATCTTTGCAGACTTAGAATCATCATCCATTTTTCAGTTTAAATCATAATTTTGCTTAAAGACTTATCTATCACAGATACACCTTCTATTTAAAGGATCCATACAATGCAGAAGGAAAACCAAAGATTGTACAAATTTCACGTTTATCAGCAATTTACTTATGTTGAATATGAGAAGATTCAAAAACATGGCAGAATTATTTACTTATTCTGAAAACAATTAATATTTTCCTTAAAAATATTTACTGTGCATTTATGATGCTTTTTTTTTTTTACTTTGCAGAAGTTAAATTTGTCTAGTTCATCTGAAGGTAGCACAGTTGATATCGGACTTCCTGCAGAAGAGCAACCAGAAGCTGAACCTGAAGAAGCCCAAGAGCCAGAGGCCTGCTTCACAGAAGGTGTTTGGAACAAAAATACTAGCAATACTTATTCATGAAATATGGAATAATTGTCTATTTAAACTAACTATTAATATTTTTATTTAATTACTCCTTTGCTAATGTTTAAACTATGATTATTAGTGGCAGTACTTTTAGGCTATAATTTTCCATATGAATACTGATATGACGATTACACTATATATCTGATAAACAATTAAGAAAATATTTTATCAGAAATTTATCATCTTTTTAAAATAAGAAAAATATATTACTGAAAGATTTATTTTAGTATGAACTACTGTACTTTCTGAGTTTAGTTACGGTCTCACAGATAATAAAATAACACACTATTTTTATACCACTCTTCATAGATATCTATCAAAGTGCTTTATACAGCTGTTGAGTGGTAAATAAAAACTGCACCTAGATGGTCTTATGCAAAAAGCTAAATGAACCTTCCACAAATTGGCAAAAAAAGAAGCAAGAGCCTCTGAGTGCCACTGGGGACAAGAACTGTCTCACCTGGTGGACTCATTCATCTTTCATGCTTCCTCCTATTGGCCCTTTTACATAACTCAATAAAACAAGAATTTGGTCATAAACTTTATTTGCAAAGGTATTTCCTTGTGAGAAATCTTATGGATATGTGCATGTGAAGGAGGTGGGGAAAGGAACAGATTTAAAACAGTAATGTAAGGATGCAAATGTCATTTTTGGTATCTGTAAGCAAAAGGTAGATCTAGACTTTAGAAAATATATGCTATAGTCAGTGCTGGTGTTGAGTTACGGACATGGTAACAGACATTTCTTTAGAAATTTACACTAAACTAGTAAGAAGTAGTACTTTAATAGACTTGTATTTGGCAAATACCATTATTGATTACTAGTATTATTCTACCTAAATGGAAGAAGAAACAAAATCAAGTCAGCAGCTAAATCATAAAAGCTTAAATAAATTAAGGGCACAAGTTAGAAAAGTTAGCTAGTACTGAAAATCTCAGAACTCAGATAGCAAGCTTAGAATTTTTTCATACAATAAATGCAACATTGTCTGACATTAGTATTCCGAACAAAAGAAAGTATAATTTAATAACACTTGCCTATATCTTACTATATAACTATATTACATCACCTACTATACATTTGGATAAGTTTGTAGATTTTTACTCATACTTTGTATTTTGTAATTTGGCTTCATGTTCCATGGACTTTTATCTTTTTGTGTGCACTGTACTGAGTGCTTAATTCTTGATAAATGAGAAATACTTTCTTCTCACTTGTTCATTTAATTGTAAATTCCAATTGTCTCAGTGTCAATTTTTTTGCTTTGGAGAAAAGGAAGCTAATCTAGATGAAAAACTATTGGTTTTTTACTAAATAGCACAGCTTCTGGAAAGGTAGCATTGTATCATTAACAGAATGCATAATCAAATTACTGTAATTTTTTTTTTTCTCAATACATACACTGTTTGAAAGGCTGTGTACGAAGGTTCAAGTGCTGTCAAGTAAGTATAGAAGAAGGGAGAGGAAAGCAGTGGTGGAACCTTAGAAAAACTTGCTTCAAGATTGTTGAACACAACTGGTTTGAGACTTTCATTGTCTTTATGATTCTCCTCAGTAGTGGAGCTCTGGTAAGTAAAACATGAACAGAGTGTTACGGTGTTGTCAAAAATCTTCTTAAAAGTTGCCTCTTTGAATATTGTTTGAACCTTGCTTTCTCCACCAGAAAGAACACACAATTCCATGTCTTCAAATGGCAGGACTAAATTTTAGTCAGGCCTTTGAAAGAATAGGTAGAAAAAGTCTCTTCTCGGCAATATGTTGAAAAAAGAAGAGACATATTTGATTAGAGAGGTCTTAAATCGTTTGCTGAAAATTATAATTATATGCCTGAAGCAGGGAGAGGGACAACATGCAAACAAGAGAACATATTTAAATTTATTATTTGCGCTTGCTCACTAGTTTTATTCAGGGAAAAGTACTTCCACTGCTGAAAAAAAATGCTTGGAAGTAACTGTGATGGCATAAACAACTCACAATACCTTGCAAGAGCCAGAGCTGCCTTATAGAGTCTTATAAATGTTATATGCTAGAACAATAAGAAAGATGAAAACAGTGCGTTTGTAATTATTCCCCTCTAAGAATATGAATTTATTAATTATGCTTCTAATTCAGCTTCTACAGATTCATACACATGTAGACTAAAGGGATATCTGTCAAAACATGAATTTGCCAATCATCAGGCTGTAAGCTTAATAAGCATGGGAGGCCAGAATAAAGAGAAGCCAAGCACAACATACATCTATAACAGTAAAAGAAACAAAACATACCAATAATATATTATTTCACAAATACAAATAATAGCGAAGAATACAGAAATTGGAGACGAACTGTTAAATAAAGCTGAGCCTTGACATACTGAGCTGAAGTTTCTTAGGCAAACTAGTTGCCCTGAGATAACATAGAGTATATCTAGCATCTGCCCTGGTAGATTCAATTGCCCTTCCGTAAGTTACTTAAGTTCCTACATCATAAAAAAAAATTGCACTGCAAAATTATATTATAAACTGTTTAGGACCACTCCCAACAATTTAAAATACTGTTAATGGTTAGCAGTTTATAATTATACCTATCATTAGTTGTGGTTAAATCTGTAAGAATCATTCTTTGGGGTGGTCTATTATCAACATAACCATCAAATAAGCAACACTTACTCCACACCATGTGACACCTTCCCTGTGATTTAAAACCTACTGAAATAAAACTATTGGATTTTGGGTGATGCTACCAAACGGAGAAAACCTTTAGTGACAAGAATGTAAATGAGAGAAAAGTGCTGGCAGGAGATGTGATAAAGGTGAATTCCCATCATTATATTTTGAGAAAGTTCGAAACAAGATCCCACAGTGTTAGCATCTCATGCTTGTGAACCTAAGGTGTATTTTATCCAGAGAACACACAGCACATTTGTGAAACTGCTTCAGAGATCAGAGATTAGCCCAAGACTCTGGAGATGGGAGACCCTGCTCTGCCCTCAACTTCCTCTGTGATAGTGAAAAGGTCTCTTTGGACCTGCCAGTACTGTATCCCACCCTATGGCCACACTCCAGACAGTCCCACTGTCATTACAGCCAGGAAATCTGGCAGGCACAGGCACACCGCAGGCTGCCTGCAAACCCCTATCTTAGAGGCGTTCAGGCAGGGAGCACACACAATTCTAGCTGCCAAGAGCACTGCTAGCTTAGCCTCTGGCGTACTCTCATTTATAAAAAAGAAATGGTATGTGGTGGCTCTGTTAACGATTACATATTACTGTCAGGTATCATAGTGCCTGATCTAAGTGTCCAAAATTACTGATAGACAGATGTTAATTCGATGATTGATAGACAAACACTAATCATTTTAAATAACAGATGTAGAGTGATTCAAAAGCAGGATGGGTAAAAATGAATGTTAGTATCAATAAATCAATAAAATATCAATAAATACCCTAATTTTTGCAAGCTAACAGATCATTCCAGTTCTTTCAATCCAATAAAACAAATTGTTATTCATAATAAGTAATAGCATAATTAAAATGTTACAGCAATTAAAGGAAATATTTCTTGGAGGATAGGAGGAATGTCTGAAAAACAGAAGCTATATGCTTTTTCAACTGTCTACAAATGAAAACACACAAAAAGTGTAAATAACATTGCAAGGATCTCAGAAATTTTATGTATCTCATAATCTCATATTCCTGTGAACAAAACAGTAAAGCAGGTATTTGATTTAGATAAATATTTTTTTAAGAAAGGAAGAACTTGTTTTATGACTTATTACTTAAATTTTTCAAAAAGCAACAGGACTTAAAAACATAAGATAAACTGTATTGTCATTGTCCTGAAAACTTTACAGCTATGGCCTCAGATTTGGAAATGGATCTACCTATGTACAAAATGAATGATCGCAGTATAATTTGGTTTAGGCATACCACTCTGCAGAATCAGTGCTCTTTGTGAGTACTGCAAATGATCTGAGAATTCAGATTCACCATCATTTTCATTATTCACATTCATCATTATTCACCATCATAAATAAATAAATAAATAAAAATCTCTGGCCAGTGAAGTGGTTGCTATGTAATATCTGCTTCTCCCTCTGCAACCTGGAAAATACAATTCCATAGGGGAAAAACAGGTATATATTGAGTTAGCAGAAGAGGAGATCTCAGATAGAAGTGACACTCCCATGCCTTTTCTTGAAGTAAGATTGTTTCCTTTTTTTGTTGCTCCCCTCTTCTTTTTTTTTTTGTTACAACATGATGTCCAATAACAAAAGGGAACAACAAATATCTTTGAATTTGTTCACCCATAGGCTTTTGAAGACATATATATTGAGCAGCGCAAAACTATCAAGACCATGCTGGAATATGCTGACAAGGTCTTCACTTACATCTTCATTCTGGAAATGCTGCTGAAGTGGGTGGCCTATGGCTATCAAACATACTTTACTAATGCCTGGTGCTGGCTGGACTTCCTGATTGTCGATGTATGTAGTATATTTCCTAGGTGTTACTTTTATATTTGCCTGATTTTTTTTTTAATTACTTGCTCTAGCTTACTTTTCAATTTAAAAAGTAAGGTAGATGGAAAAAATGCTGTATTTCTCTGTCTTTCACTTTAAACTTACAACACTGCCTTCCTATATCCCAGAGTTAAGAAAGACTGGAAGTTCTCCTGATAACAAAAGAACCTCATATGGTAGCCCCACATGCAGTTAAAGGGTTTATCGCAGCACTGTTGTTGAACAAGGTAGTGGTGTCCTCTATTCTGCCCCTGGCAGCTCATTCCCACCTTCAGACCCACCTTGCCCCCTGCTGCAGTCACAGTCGCATCCAGCATTTAGATGGGTGTCTGGTCCACCAGACTTCAGATGCTCATCTGGATTAAAACTCCTCTGACATGATGTCCACAAATTTCAGCATATGGCTGAATTAGGGTTTTACAAGGAATGCAATATGTGTCTGTAGCATTGGTGCTGTGGCTTACTGAGTATTAAAACTCCAATATTACCGAAATGGCAATCTTCACAGCTGTGTTTGAAATCAGGCTCAACAATCTTCCCTTCAAGAGTTATCTAATAGTTACAACTCTACTGTGCTCTGCTGTGAAATGGGGGAGACAATTTCTTGATGTATTAATGCAGTTACGGAGAATTTAAAAAAAGGAATGTCCTAAGTATGCCTCCTTGAGAAAACCTCCAATGTGCAGAAACCCATACTGTTTCTGCAGTCTATGAAGTTCTGTGTGTGAAACTAAAATATTATGTTTTACGTAGTTACAAAACCACAACCAGTCGCTACATTTTTAAGATAGGAATTTCTGGTAAAACTTTCTGGAAAAACAAATATTAAACAAGCTCAATTTTAAAATTAAGATGCACTTTGTCTTGGTTTCAATTACTTAGAAACAGGCACTGAGTAGGTAAAAGGTGAACTTCATAAGCAGTTATTGACCCAAAGAATTGCTAAAAATCCAACAGTTTCTGAGTGTGTTCCCAGCACACAAGGGCTAACCAAAGAGTTTATTTCACTTTGTTTCGTGACTGCTGCCTACAATCTTTTTGATTGGTGTACATTACAGATTACATATATCTAGGATTCAGCTTTATATATACAGCTACAGATAGCCACATTCAAACATAGTACTCATACAAAGAAAGGACCCTCTCTTTGGAAAACACTTTTGCTCTTTAGTATCTAAATTCTTCTCAAAATGGGTACCTATAACAAAAAGCTTGAAGAAGCATGCACGCACTGGTTCCTTTTCTAAACTAATTTTCACTAATATTTGACCTTATTTAAATCATAATACCCCAAACAACCATCTTGTGAATGTGAAAATTTGAATATTACTTTGTGTGAAGGTATAACACATATTCAAGTGTCTGAATAAGCTCGTGATTAAATCCTGGATTTACACACCTGGATATTTTCTTTACTTTGTCTCTAGATTACGGCAGCTTGAAAGCTTGAAAGTTTTCAGCAGTATGATGAATGTGTTGAAGAAAGAAATTCAGGTTTCAGAAGGACCTAGTTTTGTGGGTTGCTAGAGCTGAGGATTGACAAGTACAGAAAAGCTATTAACTTTTAAAAGCCGAAGATTTCACATAGAATGCTTGTTTTTAAATATTGTTCATAAAGAGCACTGTCCTACAGTGCTCTCTACCCGATGGATTGTTCCTTATAATGAAAGAGTATATGAGATCATTGTGCTATTTTTGGCCCGATAAATAAATAGGCAAGGGATTAGAACAGGGTAATTAATGAGCATTTAGGGGAAGTGGGAAGAAAACAGAAGGTATTATTTTGGACAGCAGCCATAGAAAATGTAGAGAATATGGTATTTCTCACTGAGGTAATGTAGGGACTCAGAGTACATAAACGCCTGTGGACATGAGACTTTATTACATCTGCTGACCCTGGAACTGTTCATATAAGGTCTTTAAAAAACAGCATAATCCAGGTTAATGTCAGCCTGTAGAGCACATAAATTCAGCAGTCAGGCAAAAGGACTAATCAGTGTAACTGAATATAGAAAAATTAATCCTTTCTACCGATTTCCAGAAAAGCAATGTTGCTCTGTGACCCATCTGTTAATTCAAAACAGGCTCCAGTCATGCCCTTTCAGTTGTGGGCAATCAAATGGGCATTATCAGCTATAATTACTGATCCCAACAGCATTGTAAGCCAAAGAAAAATTGAGAACAATACCTAAATTGGTAAAAAGAAGAGAGTAATTTAATTTGCTTTTTTGTGGTTTTAAATGCCCTTAAATTACTAGCAAAATATGAAATTCAGAAGTATTAGTGTTTCTAGATATTGTTACCTTATGATATTTTTGTTTGTTTATTCACCTATCCTACTCTTTATTCATATTAATTCTTTTTTTTTTTTTTTTTTTCATTTAAAAGACTTCCTATTCCTGGAGAAAGTGGTCCAAAATTATATTCTTCTAAAGAAGTTTATATCTCACATCTATGGTATGTAAAGTAGTATGTACAATATAATAATTTTTACTTTCCTGTTTTCATATAGGTCTCTTTGGTTAGCTTAACAGCAAATGCATTGGGTTACTCTGAACTTGGTGCCATTAAGTCCCTTAGGACACTAAGAGCTTTGAGACCTCTAAGAGCTTTGTCACGATTTGAAGGCATGAGGGTAAGACAACACGAAAGAATCTGAAACTATGCATGCATAGAAAGAATCCATGCATGCAGAATAAGGAATGACAAGTCCATGCAGAAAGGCTGCACTATCTTTTTATCTATTGCATATCTTTTACTAACAGATAAGCAAAAAGCTTCATCAATTCACCTAAATCCATATGCAGTATCACATAGAAGTTATATTCATTAAGGTTACTTTACTTTCTAGCCAATCTCAGGAGTTTTCCTGGTTATTTGAAATTACGAGCTATGAACTCTCTTACTAGATGCTTAATAATGAATAAAATGTAGCAAGATTTTATTAATTTTTACTGATAAACATATCACAATATTTATACAGGAATCTAATTTAGCATTAGTTAATAATTATATTTTCTGTTACCAGTTGAAATCCTTTATTTTTCTTCATATTTGATAAACCACCTTTGGTCGAATCACACTGAATTTTACTAGATGGTACTACAGATATATTCATACCCACTAGTGGTTTAAATCTATTTCTGAGCTTGGCTGACTTTAAAAACAAATCAAGTTATTTGATTTCTCTGTGAAATTACTCTTTTTGTAAGGTAAATACTCTTCTTATTTCAACAAATCTCTATTCAATATTCAATACAACGTAAGGTTATTTCTTAGTTATTCTGAGCAACTCAGAGGCCCTGCTTACTATTCATCTCACTCAAGAAAGCATTTTAATTATTTTTTCATTTGTTTATACCTTCCGTTCCTTAAAGCCACTGAATACAAACTAACTCTATATGCATGTCATGGAAATATGTTTTAAGAGAATGTTTTTTGCTACTTCATGGAAACATAAGAGGAAACAATGCACTAATGAATTTCAAATCAATTATAATCAAGTCAATCAAATCAAATTGAGGCTTAGAATACTGTTGCTTAAATTGTATTCATCAGGCTACATATCTCTACTTCAGAATGCATCAGAAAAAAATATTGCAAACCAATGATTACTAGATTAATAAATTTCAGTTTCATATAACCAAATTACTTTTAACAGTTTTCTCATCATTTGAAATTTATTAATTGATATTCAGCAGAGTAAGAGCTGGTCAAGTACTACAGAATGTACGAATTTTCATTTAAGTTTGGAATGACTATTTGATTCAGCCATTTTCTCTTTGTCTTTCTTTGTAGTTACTGTTCATGAATATTCAGATAAATGTGGTTTTCTGCAGAGTAATGTCACTTTATTTTTTTTAATAATGTTCTGGTCAGCTGCAGGAGAACTGGGAGACCAGTATAGAAGTTTCACTGGGACAAGAAATGCAGCTCTTTAGATGACGTTGGAAAAAACAGATAATTTCTAGGAAGATAATGTCAAAATTGATTGCCAAATGTTTTCTTCCATTTTTCTGTATCCTTACATGATTGCCTTAGTAAATTTACCACTTAAAGGATTTAGGATATTCATGCTCAAAGAAAAGTTCCTGTTATTTGAAATCTATTTACTGCTTTCCCTTATCTCTCAGTGAATAACTATGAATCTATGCCAGAAGCCCCATCATATGACAGAATGTCAGACACACAACATGAATAATTCATGAGTAACTTACTGTGGAGGAATCACCAACAAGCCTGGAAGAGCAAAAAAGGTTTCAGCTCTGTCCTCCAATATTAACAATAATCAGTGAAGTACCTGATTCCAGTCACTTAGCAAATTTGACTGGCCAACTGGTATAGGCCTTATCTTTAGTATTTGTTGCATGTACTTCTGAAAATGGTTATTCCAAAGCACTTGGCAAGTTTTAACAACATCTCGTTGACAGATGGTAGCATTACTTTATGAGTGACTCACGAACAGTAAAAAGATTCACGTAACAAATAACTGACCAGCTTATGATAACACTATAGTCAAATTACAGTCTTCTCAGAAACTGAGTTCATTTCATAAAAATCCATAAAAGCAGATTCTTTTATCTGCCAACAGAAAGTAAAAATAAATCAACCCTCTTTGCTTTCTTATATTGCCTATACCTACGCTGAGCTGTGACAAAACAAGCTGAGTTTTTATTCAGCATGTATTTATAATTTTAATTTTTACCCCATGTTCAAAACTGTGAAAGTTTTGCATTGGAAATATAAGAGATCATATGTATCCCACAAAAGTCCCTGTATGTAAAAAGCTCTGCATCATTTTGTAAAACAATCTGTTAAGTTTTCAGCTGCTTTAAATCAATCTTTTTCTTAAATAAGTTTACCATTCTGGTAATCAGGAGAATACAGCATTCTACATAGTCAGTAAATACTAATAACTATTCTGTTATCCCTAAATATAAAACAGACTTCACATTTTAAGTGGTATTCTTATAAGTTTACTGTTATACTCTGTAGTTACAACTTAATTCTATAATTATGTTGTTTCATAAAAAAGATAAATTCTCTTTCCAAAGTGAATATAAGGTAGATGAATCACTTGCAACAAAATAGGGTACAAGTGGTCCATAGTCTGTGTTTTCCTTGAGCACAGAAGCGAATTTTGCCATATTAGAGGCATTTAAAATATCTGTTGGTACACTGAATTCTGAGAAATTTTAATACTTTCTACAGTGAATCTCAAAACCAACTCCACCCAGATGCTGGAAGGCAAAGTAAAGAATTGCTTTAATTTAATTTAAATTTCTGTCTTATGGTTTATATTCTCATCTCAATTAGTGTACATACTGAGCAGTCTGCAAACTGAGATTTGAATATACCCATTGCTTTTTGTTTAGCTTTTTAGTACTTGCAATATAATGCTTTTGCGCTAGTTCTGAATTGGTATGCTACTTGTAAATGTAGAATACTAAGTATACATTGCTTTGCTGATTTAGAGAATTAAGTGACAATAAAGCATGCATTTGTGTCTAATTTCACAAAATAAAGCATGTCATGCCGTGCTTGATTTATTAGAGAAATAGTAGAAGGCAGCAAACAATCTGAAATCCACTTGCACTTTCAGTTTTGCATGCCTTATGCATATTTCTGGCTGATGGCTTTAAACATTTACTGTATTTCAAATTTCCAGTCCAATTTCATAACTTGTAAAACTAAATTAGAGTATTTGATGTCTTAACTATCCTCTAAAATTCAACGCCTATTCTTAGATTCCCTTACCAGGAAAGCGATAATGAGGCATTTTCAAGAGTAATCCAAACTTCATTAGTAAGAAAGAAACATTTCTCATATGATTGAGTTATAAAACATAACATCAAGTGTCTGTCATTACAGATTCACAACGAATAACAGGCCATATATTTCTGTTTTATGTAGGATAACCTTTCTTCAGCTTGGATGGGGTGGACCAGTGGTTCCTCCCCTTATCTGTATTATGGGTACAGTATTTCCCCCTTTTCTACCCTTAATGATTACAGTGTGACTAATCACTACATGGTGTATTTAGGGTTAGAAGGAGAGACAATCTTATTTGAGAATCCCAGTAGGAGCACAAATAGATTATATATGTTCACCCTACACCCCCTTCTTAGTTGCTTTAAATCTTTGGAAATAATCCTTTGACTTCTCTGATGTTACAGAAATAACAAGATAACTTTTGAGAAAATCGGTTGTTATTTAGTTATCTGAGTTCTTTTTGCAGGAGAACGGTACCTCAGCTATTTTTAGATTTTCAGATGCTTTTTTAACTGAGATAAAAAATGGCTTTCTTTAAAAACCTGAATCTGGCTTTTGCATTGTTTTGGAAAGGTCTCTGTTTTACTCTGTTACTCAATTTATATCTACATACATTCAAAAATATCCCATAGAAAGTTTTGAATGTTATTTGTAGTACATTAAGCACACAACAAAGCACTATGATCTGAATAGTCACAACTATAGGTATTTATATAATTGCAGTTTAAATTTTTGCATAATTTTTAAACCCCTATATGTTACATTAAATAAATCACTCCAAATGTATATAGATAATACAAGACATCATAAAACACATACAATCCTTTCTTGGAATCTGAGTTCAGTCTTCTTTGGCCTGTGTTGGAAACTAATTTTTGTAATTTTTATAAAATGCCAATAACAGTATTATTTTTATAGTATCTTTCTTGGAGTTTACAAATGTCCTGCAGGAGACATGTCAGTGATATAAAAATTTTGCAGTCACTATCAGATCCTTAGAAAAATCTGGTTCTTAGACTACAACCCTTGCAAGCAACCAACTGTATAGGAGGTATCACAGTGCAGAGGTTTCTGTAGCTTCAGTGTAAATAATGTATCAACATAAACAGCAGTCACTGTGAATTCAGCATCTTCTCTCATAGTTAAGAATTATGTATTCACCCTCAAGAAAGTGTAATCACTATCTTCTGCAAATTTCTCTTAAATATAGAGGAATATATTTTATTGATCAAAAGATTATGCACTTTGAAGGAATTTTTGAGGACTGCAATTTTATTCATTACCTTTGAGTTTGAAGGAAAGTCTATTTGAAGTGTTAGGTCTCCTGAAAGACAATTAAAAAATTTACAAACTTCAGTGTAAGAAGACTCTCTGTAGATGTTCATAGATCATACAGGAAATACCTTAGTATTTTGAGATTTTTCTTAGGCTGTAATTCTACAATTAGAAGATAATATTTGAAGGAGTTTCTGTTATAATTGAAACTGATATGATTTTTGTCTGAATTTGTGTTTGTTGTATCTTGAAGAAAATCCTTACTTTTACAATCAAAATTTAATGAAATTTGAATGAGATACATAATATAGCTTACATTTTAATTTAAAATGTTAAAGAACACATAAAGGTCAATAACATGTCATTTATGCAACAGGAAGAGCAAAAAGTTATTTTTTTTCACTGCATCCAGTGAAATTCTAAGATATTGTTCCCACACCAAATAAGTACTCTGTTTTCCTGCTCGTGTGTATTTACAGTATTTACCAGGTCATCTCAAATGCAGCCAAACTATTTATTGCTTGGGAGATAATTACGGTATTTCATCATACAGTATGTTAAATTATATCTTTTCTTCTATGTTGTCTT